GTGGGTGGGTTGTGGGGGGGCACTTCGCTTCCAGGCATCCAAGCTACTTCTCTTATTCCGTCTCCTCTTCAACACACGCGTGGCAGCTCCTGGCTTTCCCCTGTGGTTTTTCTGCTGTCGGCTTTGCAGAATAAAGTGTCCCCACTGGGAGAAGGTGTCCAGATTGGAGCCGTATCCGTCTCGAGAAACAAGCAGTCGGGACTCGTAGTAGAGATGATATCTTTTATTAGACCAGCAAACGCCCTTCCTCAGGCTTGTGGAAGTGGGAGGAGTTTCTTTTTGTTGGCAGGTCTGGCGCCTCGGGGGTGCGGGGTTCACATCACTTCTAATCCTGCTTCTCTTCTTTGATCTCTTTCTGATGTAGCTGTTCAGGCCTTTCTGTTTTTTGCCTTGACTTTCTGGAAGATTAAGGTCTTCTGGGGCAAAGGTCTCTTCTCCTCCACCCGACTCTTCGGTTCTTTGTATGTTTAACATCATTGCAGTCCTTCGCTCTGGCAGGATCCTTGACCTCCAACATCCATTGTCCCTCGAACCTGACACTTTGTAGTAATCCACTTCCACACCTTTTATTTTTCCTTGTTTTTCTTTGTGCAGCACATAAACAAAAACAAAACAAAAAACCACAACACTTCTCTGGTTTGTAATTCCCTGCTGTTGTGTCTGATTAAACTGTTTGCATGTCTTCATTGCTTCTCAGAGAAAAAGCTGTCTTCATGTGGGTGGCCATGCTATGATTACATTTTTTTTCCTTCTAAAATGTGCTGCTTAAAACAAACTGTAAGCACAAATGCTAATGATATACAAACAGTCTAACAATATTAATCCTGGTTTGTGTACAGGTTTCAGAAAAATGGCAGATGTTTCACTGTGCTACCTTGCATGTTGAAGGTTGGCACCAGTATGAAATAGCCATGGCATGATGCTAATATTTAATTTTATTATTTATTTTTATTTTATGATTTTACTATATGAAAGGGTTCCAAAGTTCTCTTGTTTTGACACTTTCTGCAACATTACAGATTAATAAAGTTACTTTAAGAAGTTTGGTGACTATAAATTGGCGCTTAACCTGTTATATGCAAAATCCCAGAATTTTCTTACATGACATTTTTCTCATTCCTTTTTATCTTCAAAATCTTTGTAAGTGTTAATAGAATTGCCGCATGTTTATTTTCAGGAACAAATATAAGCTGCTTCTCTCTGAGGAAGGGCACTTGATGCCCAAAAGCTTGTCCAAAGGTTCTCAGCCATACAGTTGGTCCAATAAGTTACCATAAATTATTCTTGCCTCCTGGACATTTCCTGGACCATCTCAGCTCCAAACCAGCTCCAATCATACTATGTTCCATTAACAGTCAATGTAAGGATCATGTAATTTTTTCCCCATGTATTAAAGACTAATAAATCTGTAGTATCTATTTTAAAATCAAAAGTAGTGATGTGATCAGGGAAGACCAGTGTTCTGAAAATAACAAGAAGGAGAATCCTAGGCATTATCCAGCTGAAGGGACTCATGGTTTAGCAAGTAGGAAATCTTTATTCAAATAATAGATTTTGATTTGTTTTGCATTTGTACTTTTAAGTACCCTGCATGTCTAAAGTTGTTGTTTGTTTGGTTTTTTTTAAGATCTGTTATTAAGTAATGACCCTTCTTATTGTTTGACAGCCTCCACATCATTTGCAACTAAAAATATGTTCTAGCTTTAGAAATATGGTAGGTTTTGGGGGTTTTAAAAATTTTTTTAGTTTAAAGCTACTTGGGTAGACTATGTTAATATACCCTTTAAAGTAGTTAAACAGTTTAATGCATATTTATCTAGATTCCTCATTTTTACATACCTGTTAGAAAAAAAGAAATTATATTTCTTATTTACTAGATGATTCTTAGTTTTTACTTTGTGATTTGTGTTAGCCTGCATTTGTATGAATGAACACTAGAATTCAGTTGAAATATTCAAATTGTTTTATTGAAATAAAACTATTTTAAATGTGCTGGGTAGGTAGGCAAAATAAGTCATATTAGACATTTAAAATTTATTATAGAAAATAGAATTATCAATAGTTAAAGAATTTTACTTATTGTTTCCTACAAATTTAAACAATTAGGCTGTGGGCAAAATTTAAATTAACAAGAACAAATATAAATAGAGGGGTCTACCAAACTTGAGGATACAGCCAGCCAATTTCACGGGCAGGTACTGGGGTCAGCCACCATTTTTACGGGCTGAGTACAGTGGGGACTCCCATGCCACTGATGGGCCATGGTTTAAGTACCTGACTAAGCCTGGGGAAGCCATTAATGCCCATGTTAAGCATGGGGATTTAATTAGGGTAATTAGGCCACAGTTTCAGGCCATCCCCAAGCAGTGTGCTCTGCAATTTTGGTGGGCTTGCTGCAAAAAAACAAAACAAAAACAGCAAGCAGAATAAAAGGCAGGAAGCCCTGCAGTCTTTGCGGGGGGGTGGCGGGTGCTTCCTTTTGTACTGCCTGCAGCCCCCATGCCTCCTGCAGCCCTGACCTGTACTGCCTACAGCGGCCCCCCCCCCTCCCTGCTTCCCCATGCTCCAAGAGTGCTGGGCTTCCCACCCTTTTCTCAGCTTGCTGGGTTTTTGGGGGGAAGGGGTATTTTTCTTTTCTCTCTTTTTTTACAGCAAGTCTGCTGTTTTTCATGGAGCCTACCTGAATTGATTGTTTCTGCTAAAATTGTCCAATCATGAATTTGGTAGGTCCCTAAATGTAAGATGCTGCATATTTGATTTTTCTTCCCTATAACACAAATGCAAAAATGGGTGATCACTAGCTAGGCGGTAACACACGTAAAAGGAATCTCGTGATTATAGCGAATCAGTGTGAATCTGAACAGCCATATGATGCTGTCACAAGAAAAGCAAACGTACATTTGGGTTTTGGTAACAAACAGTGTAATCAAGATATGGGAAGTAATAGTGCTATTCTACTTGACCCTAGTTAAGTCCCAGTTGGAGTATTTAATTTTGCATACTACATTTTAAGAAAGATATAGAAAAGTATGAGGCTCCGGAAGCAAGTGACAAAGGGGTTGAAAAGCAATGCCAAAGATGGAAATGGAGATGGAGAAACCTTAGGAACCAGGCAGTGGTGAGGCAAGTTTTGAGGGGGTATAGGTAGGGGGGAGCAAGTCACCTGACTTCCTTCTTCCCCCCCAACTCCCCATCTGTTTTCTTGCCTCATTGCTTTCCCCACCACCTACTTTCTTCACTACTGTTCCTTTGCTGCCTGCCCCACTGACACTTCCCCATTGCAGTGATGGCAGGGACAAATTCAAGATGACCCTCCTTGTTTAGATAATTGTATTTAAACAATTAGATTTATACATGGAAAATGTATGAATTTGTTATAATTTGCGATGGATTGAATCTAAGTATTGGAGGGTCATCTTAAATTCAGGATTTTTTTGGAATCAGGTAAATATTTTATCTGGAATGGTTTAGGAATAGTGAACCCTCAGTTTGTGCATGTGGTTTGTCTAGATTGGCAATTGTCAACAAGGCTGCCATGGCATTATGGGGATATTAGCAAGTGTGCCAAACACCTACATATGGTTCGTTAGATGAACCCAGAAACATCAAATATGAATTTATAGTGTTAAAAATATTCTGACTTGTGGTCTTTCTGAGTTCTTTGCAACAGAAAACTTGCTCTTATTATTTTTCCATTGTCAAAAAATGAGTGAAAGCTACTTGCTGGCATTTTGTGAAGGGTGCTTTGATTTTAAAAGTGTTGAAAACCATTGGACTAGGTGATCTTTTTGGTGTCTTTCAAATCCAAGATTCTACTATCTGTCATTCTCAAGAAATAATTTAGATTTTTCATTAAAGTATACACTGAAGATTTGGTATGCTAAGTAACGCATTTTTCTCTGTTTCATAAAAAACCAAACTAGAATCATACAGGTTACAATGGGAAAATATTTTTAATTTTAAAATATTTTGTTTACTTAATGCATGATACATACTTATTTTCTAATGGTTTTGGCAGCATAATGTCTTTC